AAATGAATCACACAAATTGCAGATTGTTTAATGAACAAATTGCCTTGAATTGATAATGCTATTTTACATAATACAAATTGGAGGCTTAAGCCTACTGTAAAAATTGCAAAACCCACAGGCTTTCATTTAAAACCAGCCAGCAACCTCCTCTCTAACAATCCATTTGTATAAATCAATGTTTATGCTTCAGCTACAGGAAAATTTCATGAGATGACTTCAACTAGCAATAAAAGTTTTAGTAATAATGCACAGTAATAAATTACACAGTCAGTTTCCCTGACAATATTTGAACCAAAATTAACAGCCACAGCTAGACAGCTAAATTCCAGCGTACCAAGGAGCAGGGGACAACTCAGATGAGATCAAGGGGCAGTGTAGGAAGAGCAGTATGAGACACGGTCTTCAAAATGACAAAGCTTGGAAATTTACCGTATTAAAAGAAGGTCTTACTCCCCTGTTACTTTCTTTTACAAAACTGTTTAGCAACATGTGCCAAGTGACTTCATTAGGTATAAACCCATTCTCCACACCTCTATATAAAAGTAAACATGCTTCATTAAACAAACCCTCCTTGCAGTGCCTGTGTATCAGTGTGTTATATGTAATAGCATCAGGACATATTCCTTCATCCTGTAACCTGTCAAAAAGGTTTAGAGCATCCTGAACATGACCGATTTTGCAGAGACCATTGATGAGGGTATTATAGGTGACTATATCAGGTGTCAATACACGATGGATCATATGCCGAAGAAATAGAAGCGCATCATTTACTTTTCCAATTCTACATAAGGCATTGATCAAAATATTGCAAGAGATGATGCTAGGAAAAATCCCTTTACCAAGCATCTCCTCAAACAATTTCAATCCTTTTCCAATAGCCCCCACTTTGCAGAAAGCTTTGATAAGGCCATTGTAGGTAATATTGTCTAGTGGGCACCCTCTAAATAGCATTTCATCAACAAGTTTAAGCGCTTGCTTAATTGAATCTTTTCCAAGAAATGCGTGAATCAATATGTTATATGTTACAGTGTTGGCAATTACACCCTCCAAGAACATGTCGCGATACAACTGCAAGGCTTCTTCCAACTTATTATCCACAGACCATATATTACTGAATTGAATGTATATATGTCAGGTTTACATCCTTTGCTGGACATTTCAGTAAAAACTTGTAAAGCGTCTTGAACCTTCCCAGTTTTACACACAGCACAAATCAAGCAATTGTATCCCACTGTGTTCAAACTGAGACCCTTAGCTGACATTTCATTTACAACTTTAACGGCTTCCTCTAATTGGCCTTCCCTACAGAAAGCATTGATCAATATGGTGTACGTAATAACATTAGGTTCAATACCTAGTGATAGCATATCATGAAAGCATTTACAAGCAGAGAATAAATTCCCATTCTTGCAAAGTCCATGGATCAATATGTTAAATGTGAAGACATCAGGCGCATGACCAGCAATTAACATGTTATTGTACAGTAAGTCCATGGCTTCATCAAAACGTCCATTTGAGACATATCCATTAATTAATGTATTATAGATCACACTATTTGGCTTAGGAATTTTGCTAAGCAAGGCCCTTGCTTCATCAACCTGACCAATCTTACACCAACCATGCATTAGAACACCATAAGTTACTGCATCAGCAGCAAAACCTTGGAAGAGCATTCGATTCAGCAATTTTTCAGCCTCATTAATTCTTTTGGCCCTGCAGAGACCATGGATAACATCACTGATGGTTTGAACATCTGGTGTACAGCCCATCAAAAACATTTCTCCTAAAAGTTGCACAGCTTCATTCACTCTATTACTTTTGGAAACTGCATGTATCAGGGTCTGGTATATCACCGAACTTGGAACACAACCATGCTTTGCCATGTCTCGTAGAAGTGAGCAAGCTGAATCCACCTCATTAATCATACAAAATGCTTTCATCACCACTCCAAACGTGTAGACAGTTGGAGAAATTCCTCTGCTTAACATGTCATAGAAAACATTTGGTGCGACTCGGGGACAATTTCTGGAAACCAGTATATCTAATACAACATTATATGTCCCAAATGTAGGCTCACATGAATACACACTCTTCATATCTAACAAAAGCTTTGTAGCTTGCCCAGGCAACCCAGCTCTTTCATAGTGTTTCACAATCAAAAGAAAAAGTGATTATTTAAAGACAATTCTTTCTTCTTTCATCTGCAATAACAACCCGTCTATGATTTTAAACTCACCAGCTACACCAAGCTTATCCAATAAAATGTAGTATACATCATAGGAATGACAATATCCACTCTGGGAACCTGCCCATTCGAATATCTCCATTGACGTGGGCATGTCAAGTGGGAGCTCCAGCAATTTGCAAAGCTGAACTGGACTAATTTGATTAAGAGACCTTCGAAGCTGCTTAAGATTGAAAGGCTTAAGCAATCTCTCCCATTCGGTCTCATTGTCAGACCCATTATCGTTCAAGACTATATTATTCCCATGTGTATTGACTGCAGTTGAGCAAATTGCTAAAGAATGGATTCTGAACAAAACCTGAGTACTTTCACATACATGGGTTGGGACTCTTAATGTTCTCAACATCAATTTTTAATAAAGGGTCTATAAATTAAATCAAAGAAACTAACCCAATGGAAGGAGGGAAACCTCTTCGTGTCAAATAAGGACAGCTGATAACAGAATTCGCTAATGGACACCTCAAACCATGATCTGAATTGTAATGAAACCCGTTATGGAACCCTAAAATTGGTGAAGCCAGAGCACAATATAAACGGGAAAAAGACAACATCCCCTGCTTGGATGTGAAATTTTGGAGTTGATTCGATGCAATGGAAATGGTTGGGTATCTCAATCATTTGATTGGCTTATCAGCATTTCGAAGCTTCCAATATGAACAGGACACACTGCTTCAGTGCTTCGTGGAAATGGTTCACTGTTTATGGAAACCAGGAAGAAAGAAGAGCAGCATGAAGAGATCCTAATTGGAAAAACAACAAGTTAAACACTCTTTATGTTGACCGCATTTCAGATGCAGCTATTTTTTTATTATCTATTTTTATTGAGAAAATACCATACATTAAATAAGTTAAATATTATGTCTTTATAAAATGTGTAAAAAACTTAAAATTCAACATAACAAATAACAATCATTGTAAGGAAGTAAAAATAATAATTAGTTTGACTCAATTAATTCCTCACTCCTCAAATAGGTTGATGAGCATTTGGTTTTTCAAGTCGGATATGTTCATTAACCAAATAACGAATAACTAAATTGTCTCTAAAGTACACACCGAACGCAAACCGAATTGAATATGATAACAGAATCAATCCCTTATTCAGTTAGTTCGGTTTGAGTGCCTTGTGGAAATCAGGCCATGTTTTAAGTAAAAGAATTGCAGCAAGGCTTCAGTAAAAGAAATGCAGAGTATACCTACTCAACGGGAATGGCAAGGAAAACACGAATCCAAAGCACAAGGCGTAGATAAGGAGGAAATCAGTAATATAATCAATGCTACAGATCCCACACGCAAGGCAGAGAGAGACAATTCCTAAATGAAAACAACAAATAATAAATTTCAAGCATGAGTGAACCAAAAATGATAAAGTATGGTCAGAAAAAATTCAGGCTTCGTCTCACAAACACATATGGGGATAAAAAATTCCCATCAATTCAGCAGAAATTTACAGAAGAGATGAAAGCGAACCCTGCCGGAGGAGGAGCATCATCAGAGAATTGAGGGTAAGCATTGGGGAATCGAAGGAAAGAATCAGAAAGCAGAGTGGTCCGTGCCGCCGCGGAGATTGGAGAAAGAAGCTTCGGCCTTCGTGTTCAAATGGCGAGTCGGGAGACTGTAGACCGACGGACGGGAGACTAGGGAGCGTGAGCGTCTGGCTTCTCTCCGCCGCGGTTATTGCCCGCGGCCCTCCGCCACCTTTATACGGCACCGTTTGCAGCAAAAGGACAAGGGATCAAGAATAATAAAATAAAGCGAAGGGGACTTGGCAGATGGATAAAAACAAAACCGTTGGATGAGAGAGCCGGGGGGGAGGAAATGCTAATCCCAGTTTGTGGACCCCATGACATTTTCTTTAAAAAATCAATTAAATATCTTTTTCAGCCTCTTAATTAAAAAATACATTAAAAAAGAGAAAAATTATGAAAAAAAGCCCATAATCCATCTCTTTTACCTGCAAAGTGCAAACTTTAATTCATTTTGTTAATGAAAATTCACATCTGAGGACTTAAATTTTATTTCACATCGGTTTCTGTTGATATTTATTTATTTATTTATATTTTTAAAGTTATTACTCCTTCGGTCCTTATTATAAGACCCCATTTGACTTTTTATTTGATTCTAATTATAAGACCCCAATCCATTTTGTCTCTTATATTTATGCATTTTTTTTCCAAGATAATCCTTCTAATAATGATAGTTTTAGCCAATATACTTAATTAGCAAGGATATTTTAGGAATAACAACACTTATTTATTATAAATAACCAACTTAACTTATTTCTTTAATCTTCTCAAATAAGTCAATTGGGTCTTATAATTAGGACCGGAGGAGTATCATTTTATGCCTTGACAATCGTTTTTAAAAAATTTATCATTACCATTTTATAAAGCAATGAATATTTGATTAATTATTTTTGAATAAAAAAATTATTTACAAAGAAAAATTGGAAAAAACGATATTTAAAAAGTTTACAAATATTAATATATAAATATATAAACTTATAAATACACACACACCCTCCCTCATTGACCTATTGATGTCAAGGCTCGGACGCGTAGCTTCATAATTTGATTCAAAAAAATCATAATTGATGAGATTTGAAACTTCAAAGAAAATTAATGTTGGGCTTGGATCATAATCCTTCATTAAAAACTAACCAACCAAGCCCACCAGTCCATCAAACATTTTGATTTTTGAGCTCCTTTTTTTTTGGTAAGAAAAGAGGCCTCAGACCCAAAACAAAAAAAGAAAGAAATCAAGGGGGCAAGTGCCCAGAAACTTCCGCAGCTCGTCTTGCAACCTCATCTTTCTCAACCAGATCTGTTAGCGCCGAAGGAGTTTCCTCCAACATATGACAACCTAACTCCAACCCAAATCCCAGTTTCGCCAAGGCATCAGCACAAGCATTCGCCTTCCTGTCCACTTTACAAATTCTGACATTCCAACTCCTTTCAAGCATCTGCAGAATCCGGCGAAAGACAGGGGGAATAAAGCTCCCTTTTGTCATCTTCCCTCGTAGCATTCTAATCAGCACTTCCGAGTCAGATTCAACAATCACCTGATGAAACCCCTTTTGCCAAGCAATTTCCAGCCCTCTAAGCATTCCCCATCCTTCAGCCTCCAAGACTCCACAAAAACCCAGCCTCCATAAGGATATAATGACATAATCCCTTTTATAAATGAATTTATAAAAAATAACGTAATCTTATCTTGAATGTTTATTAAAATTTTTTTCATTCTATCTTCATTAAAAAGAAATATTTATTATTATTAGTGAGATCAATTATTTTAAGCCACCAATTAATTGTTAAATGTGGGTATTCCTAAAACAAAATTTAGGTTAAAATGTGCAGAACTCTCCTACACTTTTATTCAGTTACATATAACATTCCTAATAATTAAAAGTATAAATTAAAAACCTGATATTTCGTGTTTAATTATCAACTTCATTGCCCTTAAAATTACCGTTAAAGTTAATAATTTTTTTCATGTGAAAATTTTCATTTTTTTTTATATACAGCGTCATTTAAAAAAAAATAACATTTGGCATTTGATATGTAATAAGTCGTTGTCATAGGTATAAAATATAAAATTTATATATCTATTCCATTATAATTTTTTTTTAAAAAAATGAGAACTCAACAATTAATTTCTTTAATGTTAAGATAGAATGTATAAATTAATCCACAATAGATGCCATGTAAAGCATATCACATTTGTAGATAGAATACATTTTTTTAAGGGGACCAGTGGTACGCTACTTCATTCTTGATCAAGCCAACAACACTCACGTATTAAACAAATCACAGAGACGACTTCACGTTATGCAAGATGACAGATTCAATGGCAAATACAGAAAAAAGGACAAACCAAAGTAATCATGGAAGAAGCTAAGGTTAAGCTCTCATGAGGCGTCCATATGAGATGTTATCGAAATGGTTCACTGAATAAGGTTTATTAGGCCTCACAACTTCCACAGATACTTGTTTCATGGTTAGTCGGCACCGAGGATCTTCATTCAAGCAAGCAAGTGCTATTTTTGCAATCAGCATTACTTCCTCAACAGCTAGGTTTGAAGGTTGAGGAACTCACTGGTCCAACATATTCTTAATTGGCAAATCATAGGATGTTGGGATCCCTGTCAAAGAACAATGAGCTCTCCTAGATGTCTTCCCATTAAGATTTCTAATGGGAAGACTATAAAAATCGTATTTCTCAGTCGCTTGCATGGTAAAAGCAATCTCTGCAACAGGCATGTTAAACTATATGAGGATAGTTAAATTGCGTTACAGAGAATAATAACAATGATTTTCGGCTATTAAGAAAGGAGGCCTCACCTGGAGCAGCATAAACAAAGTTGCCAGCGATCAGCGAATGAGGTCATATTGCTCCAATCAAGCTTTAGAGACTTGGCTGCTCCAAGGTCAGTGATATGAGCTTCTTGGTATTCTGGATAATACGATATTCTTGCTTGATATGTCACTATGAACTATAGGACATGAGAGACCATGGTGCATATGTAATACTCCTCCACTCTTTAATATAAGACTTAATTAGGGAGTTGAGTTAGTCATATGTATAAGATTTATTTCACATATTTATCTATTTTTTCTCCAAATTAATTCTATTAATATTTTTTTTTAACAATAATCAGGTAGGAGAGGGAAGGAGGAAACTAGAAAAGATATTTAAGGTGTTCTTAAAAAAATATAACATATTAACTAATTTCACTAATATTCTTAATCTGTTCAAGTTAGTTAATTAGGTCTTATATTAAGGACCAGAAGAGTATAATATTGTACTAGCTAGCTATCCCTTTCACAACATTTATCTTCTTATCCCAATCAAGTATAGATGCTTGCTTTTCACTTTTTAAAATATTATCCAGGCTACCACTTCTAGGAACTCGTAGACTAAGAATAAGACTTGCGGGCTCGAAAAACATCCAACAAACTTCACTACATTGTGATGTTTGATGTCTATTAGTGCTTGAATTTCACTTCTTTCTGCATGCTATGAGATTGGAGAAATTTGCATTTGAAGTTGAGTGAAGTTTCTTCACAGCAAAATATTGAAAGTAACTCAGCCTTGTACAACACTTCCTTGTCCTCCCATCCCAATGGCTTTTTGATGCAACGTTTCCCTATCAAAACACCCCATGAAGAAAAGATTTTGAACTTGTGCCTGTCTATTCTGATTCTTTGTTTTCTTTGATTTTTGAATCAGAATATAGAAAACCCCATCCACAGCTAGAATCAGAGTCATAAAACAAAGAAGCAATGACGCTAATAGCTTTGATTTTTTGTTCATACGACCTTGCGGGTTATTGCTATGTTATTGCAAAGCTCTAAGCCAGTAACATTACCACCTAAACCTATGTTGTTCCTTACTGCGTCAAATGTAATGTTTCGAAAGGCATGGACGTTAGGAAAGGTCCCTCTAAATGATTGTATGATATGTCAACATATGTCAAGCCTGACATGTCATCAAAATCAGATGGAATGATCGCGGAGAGATTACTATGCGAAAGGTTCAAGATTTCCAGCATCTTTAGCATTCCAAGTGTTGCTGGTATTATTCCTCTCAACATACCCTCGCTAAGGTCAAGAACCCGTGGGGCTTGTAATTGACCAAACTCAAAGGGAATGCCTACCTCAAATTTATTTTTGCTCAAGTTCAAAATCCACAGCTTCCGCAAGCTTCCAAGCTCTTTAGGTATTGGGCCAGTGAGATTATTTGCTGCCAACTCCAATTGCTCGAGTTGATCCAATGATCCTATATCTATAGGAATCTTTTCTGAAAATTGGTTATGACTGAAAGAGAGTTTGTCCAATGAGATCATCCTCCCCAATTCTTTTGGAATATCTCCTGTCAAGTGATTTGAAGAAACATTGATTTAACCAAGATTGGTTGCCTCTCCTATTTCTGGAGGTATGCTGCCGGAAACGTTAACGTTGTAAGATTTGGACATTTTCCCCACAACGATGAAATGTGACCGTATAACTTATTGCCACTCAAATTGATGTATTTCAGATATGGATACACACCAAAATCACTTGTTATATTTCCAACCAATGAATTTGGTTATGATCATGAAGTGTGAGTCTAATAAGGCTAGAGTAATTTTTCAAGGTTCTTAGAACTGGACCGGTGAATTTGTTTTCAGCAGCACCCAAAGCTTCAAGTGACCCACCAAAGGAAATATTTTGCGGCAAATGGCCAGTCAACTGATTCCCACGAATTTGTAAACTTGTCAAGTGGGTGAGATTATTCATCTCTATTGGAATGCTCCCACTGAGTTTGTTCCATCTTAATTCTAGGGTATTTAGTGTTTCAAATTTCCTATAGTATATGGAATAGTTCCAGAAAGAGTTACTGGCAAGGATGACTCCTTCTAGTTTGGCCAAATTTCCTATGGTAGATGGGATTGATCCAAAAGGAGAGTTATAACGAGGGTTGATAGTTTCTAAATTCACCCAATTTGCTAGAGAGGGCAGAATTGATCCTGAAAGGTTGTTGTCCCCCAAACCTAACCAAATCAAATTCGTCGAGTTTCCAATAATGGAGATTGGTATTGGCCCATACAAGTTGTTTTCCGCCAAATCCACTTTGGTGAGAAAATGGAGATTTGCAAAGTTACAAGGTGTGAAACCTGACAGTCTATTTTCATAAAGGTAAAGAAATTTCAACTTTGTCAAATTGGCTAATGAAGAAGGGATTGCTCCATTTAAGAAAGCTTTAGGAATGAGACCAGAAAAATGATTTTTTTTTTCTATTTTTTGCTAAGTAGGGGCATCCTCCTATTGAAGAAATCATGTTTGAAGCATTGTTGGATACTAAATATAGGCATCTCTCTTAATGAAAATTTGAATTTTAATTCGCTGCATTGTGTAAAGGGATAATGTTCTCAAATTCCTCAAGTTCCCAATTTCTTTGGGAATTCGCACAGTAAGATTATTCACACTAATTCCAAGCACATTTAAAGCAATCAAGTTTCCTATCCCTGGAGGGATGAAACCACTCAAGAAATTATGATCCATATACAATATGAGAATACTGGACAAGTTACCAATTTGGCTGGGAATAGTTCCAGAAAACTCATTACTTTCCAGTGATGAGTGCAATAATAAGGATAAGTGTCATTATTCCAAGAAGCTGACAAGATAGCTTGACTTTGCTTACTAAGGCTGGCTTTCCACTTTAAAAGACTATTTGCTTCCGATGAAGAGAACATCACAGAAACACTGAACAAGAATATGCAGAGAACTCGCCAAGATTCTGCTGGTGGAACAGTCGAATGAGCCTTTGGAAACTCTGGGTTTTCTTTTAACTGCTGATCGAATAGAGTCAGCATAAATGGATAATAGGAGGTCTTTTTCACTGTCATAAAATGTACGAAAGTACGGATCATGATATTAAATATTGCACTTATTGGTTTAAAAAAGAAAAAGATGCTCCCTCATGTCCTAATTATAAGAGCTAGTTGACTAATTTAAAAAGATTAAGAAAATAAGTTAAGTTAGTTATTTGTAATAATTAGGTGTGGTCTTTCCTAAAATATTCTCGCTCATCAAATGTATTAGCTAAGACTATCATTATTAGAAGGATTATCTTAGAAAAAATGTATAAATATGAGAGATAAAGTGAATTGGGGTTTTATATTTAGGACCAAAATAAAAGTTAAACAAGATTTTATATTAAAAACTGGAGATAGTATTAAATATTGTATCTAAATTGGGTCCTGCAATATAATATCCCAAAAATGACTACCTGGTTGCTTCATGTGACAGTCAACGTTGTTCATAATGTGCCACGCATGTCCCATTATACTTCCCTGCAACGCATGTGACAGCCAACGTTGTTCACAAAATGTACGGAATTAGGTTTCGATACCATGATTTTACCCAAGTTTAAATTAATTCCTAGTCTCCTTTAATTATTTATTATTTTTTTGTCAAACCTTTAATTATTTATTCTAGATTTTGTACTTATTCCCTTTTTTATAAATTTTTTTGATATTTATTTTTAAAATTAATTAAACATTTAAGTCTATATTTTTTTTGTGTCGTTTTGCCAATTCATCTCAATAAAAGCACTTTTGCATGTGCGATTATTGAGAAAACACATGAGTTTCACAATTCTAAATGAAATCAACTTTACGTTGTTTTTTTGTTTTAGTGATGGGCCGGCCTTTTATGTATAATCTTTTTACTTAGTTTGAATGAAATTGTCTTTTAATAAATAAAAAATAAAAATTTACTTAATGTTTTGTAAGAGTACGACCAAATGAACCAATTTCTCCTTGCCTTTTATTATTTGTTCTAGAATTTTTCTGTTAAAAATTATTTCAAATTTTTAGTTAAAAATAGAATATTATATATATTTGTGTCCTAAGATTATATATTTTTGTCGGTTCATATAAATATATAATCACAGAAAAGCACATACATCTTTGGGAAAATTGAGGATAAATCCTCATTGAGAATTTAATTGGTAAATGGTACCTAGGAACTTTGTGCAATTGAATTTTCCTAGTGTGTAACTTAGCTTCTCTTGTGTGTGATTATATTTTCCTGTGTCACACCTTTTCTTTGTGCAACTAAATATTTCTTGTGTGCAATTCATCTCCTTATATGCAAACTAGTCTCTTCTTTCTGAATAATATTTTATGCAAACCATCTTCTCTATATGCAACTCAACTTCACTTATGTCCAACTTATCTTCCTCTATGCAACCCATCATCCTAGGGATTATCTGCCAGTTAATTTTCTAATGAGGGATTTATCTCCAATTTTTTCTACATCTTTTCATAAGCATAGATAGATCAATTTCTATTGTCCTTTTTTTTTTGCCAATAATTTCTTTGGTCCTTTTATTATTTGTCCTAGATTTTTTATTTAAGTGACAAATTCATTTTTATTTATGTAATGAAAAATTTAAGATTATATTTTTGTAGCGTCATGAGAGAGTTAAATCCATGTAAGCTGTATTACTTTTTAACTTTCGTGCATAATATTTCTCCAATTGTGTGTAAGATTTAAAAAAAAATTATTTGTAAAAAATAAGACCAAAGCATGCGATAGATTAATGCAAGTGATATTACATTTTAACTTTTGATTGAAGTAAAAGACATAAATCTGACATAAAATGATCATAACCATCTATTATGTTACTAGAGTTAAAATGATAATGCCGAAACCAAACATTCACTTCAGTCTTATACAAGTCCCAAACTGATCATACATTTGATATAAAAATCACAAACTTAAAAATTTAATGCCAAGTGCAACACTTTATAGAAGCAAAACCACTAACAAATGAAGTTCAATCCCTCATTAGTTGTCCAATTGTGATGGCGTGAAATTGGTCCTCCGAATAAGATTTTGGTGTCTTTGCAAACTCTGCAGATACTTTTTCCATGGTTGGACGAGACCGAGGAGTCTCATTCAAGCAAGAAAAAGCCATTGTTGCAACTAAGATCACATCATCTAGGACTGGCTTTGTGAGTGGAGAAAGTCGTGGGTCCAGCACATCACTTAACAACAAATCATTATTGGTTGGTTTCTCTGCCAAGTATGAAATAAGCTCTGCAGGATGTGTACCCATAATAATTTCTAAAGTCAACACTCCGAAGCTGTATACATCACATTTCTCATTCGCTTGCATGATGAAAGCAATCTCTGCAATAGATTTAATGTTATCTATCTCCATAATATTGCAATGAGTAGTATATTTTTGAAAAAATAAAATAAAATAAAAAGGCAGTCTTACCTGGTGCAGCATACCCGAATGTGCCTGCAAATCTAGTCATATTGCTTGAGTTTGGATTCAAAAATTTTGATGTTCCAAAGTCAATGATGTGAGCTTCTTCATATTCTGAACTTAGGAGAACATTCTTGCTTGATATGTCACGATGAACAATAGGAATTGAACAACCATGATGCATATGGAATAAGGCATTTGCCACACCTTTGACAACATTCACCCTTTTGTTCCAACCAAACTCAATGGCTTGTTCCTCATTCTTTAGTATGTTATCCAAGCTGCCACCTTCGAAGAACTCATATACTAAAATAGAGGATTGTGAATTGGAATAAAACCCATAAAGCTTCACAATGTTACGATGTTTGATTTCTGTCAAAGCTTGGATCTCACTTGTAAAAGCTTTTTGGTTGGAGATTTCCCCACTTGGCATTGAATGAAGCTTCTTTACAGCAACAACATCACCTGTAGGCAACTCAACCCTATAAACACTTCCTTGGCCCCCTTTGTCAATGAGATATCTTTCATCAAATTCTCTTGTGGCTTCAACAATATCTCTATACAATATTTTTCTTTCAAGACTCCACACAAAATAAACATCTTCTGGTGGAGCTTCTCTACCTTTGTTTTTTGTTTTTGTTGCTATTCGAGAACAAATGAAAGATGCTGCTACAATTACTAATAGCAGTACGACTAATGGGAGGAGTATTATCAACAACTTTTTGCTCTTATGCCCATGTCCATATGTTTGGAAATCATCACAAGGACTTAAACCAGTGATGTTACCACACAAACCTTTGTTATTCCTCAATGCATCAAAATTGTGAAAGGCTGGTTTGATTGGAATGGGGCCTTCTAATTGATTGTAAGATATGTCAACTGTAGACAAAGCTGACATTGATCCATTGAAACCAAAAGGAATGGTGCCAATGAAATTATTATGTGAGAGGTTCAATACTTGCAAGTTGGATAGCATTCCCAGCCTTGATGGTATTTTCCCATTTAGCAAATTACCACTAAGATCAAGTTGTTCAAGGTGTTGGAGTTCACCAAACTCAAGGGGAATGCTTTCATCAAACTTGTTTTTGCTCAAGTTCAAGACCCTTAAGATTTTTAATTCCCCAAGCTCTCTTGCGATTGAGCCATTGAAATTATTTTCTGCCAACTCCAAAATTTCAAGCTGACTAAGTGATCTTATATTTGAGGGGACATTACCAGAGAAGTTATTGTTGCTCAAGGAGAGTTTTCTCAACATGATCAACTTCTCTAGTTGTTTTGGAATTTGTCCAGACAAATGATTTGAAGACAAGTTAAGTAAACCAAGTTTAGTTGCCTCTCCTATTTCTGGTGGTATATCACCAGAAAGCTTGTTATTGTGAATAATGAATTGTGTGAGATTTTGACACTTCCCCCACTTGGATGAAAGGTGGCCATACAATTGATTACCACTAAGATCAATGTAGTTCAAATAAGGATATACTCCAAAAGCAGCTGTTATATTATCAACTATTTGGTTATTATCAAGTCTAAGTCTTTCTAGACTAGAACAATTCTTCAAACTTGTTGGAATAGGACCAGTGAAATGGTTATCATTAGCACCAAGGGCAGATAACGTGCCATTTTGACAAATTTTTTGTGGTAAAGGACCACTAAAATGATTATAACTCAGTTGCATGTTATGCCAACTCGTTAAGTTATTCATTTCTCGTGGAAGTTGACCACTAAAATTGTTGCTGTCCAGGTAAAGGACGGTGAGCTTTGTGATATTTCCTATAGTGGAAGGAATAAATCCTGAAAGACTATTGTTTCGAAGGTGGAAATCATCTAAATTGATCAAGTTGCCAATGGATGGAGGAATTGGACCAGAAAGCCTGTTACTAGAGAAGGACAATTGTACGAGCTTTGTTAGGTTTCCTATAGAAGGAGAGATTGGCCCCGAAAGTTTATTTTCATATAACTGAATGTTAATGAGATGATAGAGTTTTCCTAATTCAGCTGGAATGGGACCTGAGAGATTGTTCTGATAAAGATAAAGCATTTGTAACATGGTCAAGTTTCCAATTGATGATGGGATTCTACCTGACAAAGTGTTCGTTCCCAAACGAAGGTCAACAAGGTTACTCAACCTTCCAATCTCTTCAGGAATGGGACCAGAAAGGGAATTTTCTCCAAGCCATAGGAGCCTCAAATTCCTCAAATTCCCAATTTTATGGGCAATTTTTCCCGTGAGATTGCATGTGCTAAGATCAAGACGACTTAGAGTGGTTAGATTCCAGATTTCAGGAGGAATGTGACCCTTAATTGGATTATCTGACAAACCCAATCTCACAATACTGGACAATTTACCAATTTCGTGGGGAATGTATCCATAAAATTGGTTGCGACTTATGTTGAAGTGGAGGAGATTAGGAAAGGCAGTGAAGTTGAGAGTGGAAAGTGTACCTTGAAGATTAAGATTTGAGAGACTTATCTTGGACACAGACATGGATTCATCACAAGAAATTCCCCTCCACAACTGCCTGCAAGGATTAGTATCATTCTTCCAAGTGGACAACATAGCTTTGCTTTGGTCGTTAAAGCTGGCTCTCCACTTCAACAGAGCTTTTGCTTCGCTATCTCCAGCAGCAACAGATACAAAGAAAGCAACACAGAAAAATAATGCTAGCAGCTTAGTGTAATCTATTTCAGACATTTTTTCTGGGTAAATTTTTGAATAAGTAATATATTCAAAGACGGAATATCAGTTCACCGGGTGAGTTAGCGGCAACAATAATGGTGGTTATGTGAGGCTTGGGATGTTCAAGTGCATGATACAGACCTTCTTATATAGTATGGATTGGCCTTGCTGGCAATAACTTTCTCAGTATAAAATAATATTTTACGATAGACTTGCAAACGTAATTGACCTCAAGAAAGATTAACGAGCCAATATTTCTTCAACGATGCTTTTTTCATTTTATCCTTGTTTCAAGGGATATGATGATCTGGATCCTTTAAAGTTTTCCCTTCTTGAATTGATCACGTTTCACTTCATTTTCCGTTCTTCTCCTTTTTCGCGGTTTTATTTCATCTCTTAATTTTCAACAGCAATAGGAACTCATCATTGTTGTTAACAATATGTAAGTTGTCACAAAATACAGAATGAAAGGATGCTTTTAAAATAAAATGATGAAATAAAATTTATTTATGATCAATATAAAAATAAAAAAAATATCATGCTCATCTCCTTACATTAATATATATCAGTGATAGATCTAGTTGAGTTTGATTTTATATCAGATTCATGTGGCAATTTATATGTATGTTGTGTGAGAGTTATGTCATCCTCAATTAACGAGCGGTTCTGCAAGAGGACTTCATGGATCTATTGGGTTGGAAGGGTTGGCTATGGTCGATTTTATTGTATAAACGAGAAGGTTCAGAGCTCCGCTTTAATTTGGACGCAATCTTTATCACTATGTAGCACCACATCAGCCCCTTTTGACCGGAACTATCGGCATTTGCAAATATTATTAACAAAAGGACTAACGTCAATCACGAAGCAAACAATAAGGAGTGAATAAAAAGAAAAAAAAATATTATAGGGATCTAATTCAAAATCTAATGATCCTTAAAGGGTTGCCAAATTAGTTTTCGCAATTAAAAAGGAGGTAAAATTATAGAGACTTGCATATTAAAACTAAAAAAATTAGCCATATAAATTTGTCACATTGGGTGAGAGAATGGAGTATACAATTGTAACGTGAAAGTTGTTGGAAATAAATCGAGTATAATTATTTGATTCCACCAAAACTCACTTTCATTCTCATTTCTATAATACTCAGTCTCCATCTTATGAGAAATTTTTAACAAAGAAACCTAGCGGGGCTTCATCAGTGGAATCACTTTCAGACATGGTGTTTGTGTGATTTGGAATGTTAAGTATAAGCAGGAATAAATAATTAAAAAGGTTGGGTCGGTACAACAAATTGAACACGTAAATTATGAAAAAGATTTTTTAATTAAAATAATCATGAGAAAGTTGGTCAGAGAACGGAAAGAACAATATTATAAATTCAAAAAAAAAGCAAATTAAAGGAACTCATGATCATCTTTTCATAGACGTGTTGGAAGATTACCGAGTGTTTCACATCATTACAGTGATAAAACGTGCATAAATTAATTCTTTTGACTCATTAGGGCTGACCTAAGTCTGGTTTTTATAGGCTAAATTAAGGCCCTAAAAACTGAACTAACCATGATCTAGATGATGGTTTGAGGGTTAGTGGTTCAAATTGCAATCAACTAATAGTTAAACTGGTCATGATTTAAATAAAATAATTAAATTAAAATATATAAAATATTCAAATATGAATCTTAAAAGAAAAATGCTTTTTTAATCCAAAAAAAAAGAATGAAGTTTAAGTAAACACATATTAATTCAAAAGTAAATGGAATATCCATTTGTAAACCAACATAATCCTATAAAATAAAGTTATTGGAGGATAACTTGAACAAAATTTTATGTTATTAAATTCAAAATCATATCATTTCAAGTTTAATAAGTAGAAAAAAATAAAATAATATCCAACTCGGTCGATCCATGCAAAAACTTTTAACTAGACTAGCTAAGAGACTTATTCATTAGTTCAATAGTCAAACCAATCAAATTGGGTTGGTTTTGATTAGAGTCGATGACATGGGTTTAGCCTGCGGGCTCAACCCGTCATTAAAATGATGGATCGGGTTGAAGAAAATAGGAACTATTTTGATGCAGTTCTTTTCAGCTTGTACCCACCAACCTGCGACCAGCCACAGGCTAGCCCGCCAACCCGCGGGCTAACCCGCCAGCCGTTTTCTCTATTTTTTTTTTTTAAAAATTTTTCTTACAATTTTTATTTTAATTTTAATGACAAAAAGTTTTATCATTTTCACTTAATTTACATATAACTTTGTATTTTGTCATAGACTTTGATTTTAAATTTGATTTCTCATTTTTTTATTGTTTTACCATTTTTATACTCATAAAATAATTATTAACAATAAATTATATGTTTATATTTCAACGTTTGAGATTAATTTAATTATATAATTATATAAAAATATAAGAATAAGAAGAATTTAGTCTATAAAAATTTATATATTAATTAATTTTTTTTAATATATGTGTAAAAAATTTAAAAAAAAGAATAGAGGTTGGCGCCAACCCACCCTTTAGCAGGGCAGGCTGGCAAAATATGAGTCCGCAAGGAGGTAGTCCTTTTAGGACTGGTCTGCATGGTCTCAAGCCAGTAATTGGCAGGCTGGCCCGTTTCACCGCCTCTAATTTTAATACAATGGTCTAAATCTCGATCCCAACCTTAACAATTCTCACATCTATAAATAGGAAGCCTACGGTTCTAGCTCATTCTCCTGATTCTAGATGATCATTAATTTTCAACATGAGGATGGTATTGGCGTGTTGACTGGAGTAAAGTAGGCAGGAATTTCTATAACTTGGAGGAGGGGAATTTCTGCTATGGAACTTTTATTAGTGGCGGTACTTTTCAGATTCTCATAAATCTGTTTTTGTTCCTTTTCTTTCATGATTCACTTTTTTTCCCTGAAAAGCATATGTTAGCTCAATGAGAACATAGGAAAAACTGATTGGAGTTCCTAACTCGTGACAAGTAATACAGTGATGAGAAAAGATCATTATTCCCATAGAAATTTGTGTAAAAATCAAGGCCAAATAAAAGACTAAGTAAATTTAATTAAGTTGAGCCAAATGAACTTTTGATAGGAAGAGAGAATTTGGAAAACTAATTTTTGAAACTAGAAATTGCTGAAAATAATTGATTCTAAAACTCTAGGAATTAAAGGGACTTAGGATTATTTATCTCCCTTGTATATCATCATAACTTTTAATTGATCTCTTCTCATAGATATTTTTAATAAAAATATGTTTTGGTGTGAGATTCAAAAAGTACTTAAGTCAAGATCAAATGTTTAATTCTATTAATAACTCAATCTCTTGTTACAATTAATAAAATTCAATTTTAAGTTCTAATCCTAAAGTGACTATGTCATATTGGCTAGTATATCTTCATCTTACCAAAAAAACTATCCATTCAACATGCAAGTTTCAAGTGCTTACACAATTTTACCTAACTTCTACAGTTAACCTAATTCTTTCAAGCATCAATTAAGTAAACAAAACAACAAAGCGATAATCAAGCACTTAGAAGCATTAACCAAGGGATAAAATAAGCACGCACGTGTGCACATAAATATCATTAATCACAAAAAGATAGGAGTAATCAAGATTTAATTTATACAATGGTTCAAAATAATCCTAGAAAAAAGTGTTTAGCTACTCATGATCAATCACAAGTTACAAATACAGAAGAAGATCACAGTTATAGTAATCTCTTGCTTCAAACCCTTCAAGCAACCAAACCCTAACACACAAAGCTCCTAACAATGCCCATGAGTTCTAGAATGAGTGAAAAACAATGCTTCCCTTTAACTTATATAGCATATGGAGCCCTAGAGTGTGTGCTATCTTTTCCAGTTGGCTACAGCCAAAACATTTCTTGGCTACAGCCAATAACTCTTTGCTTTTTTTTGTTGGTTAAGGCTAAGGGCTTTTGTTGGCTGAGACCAATAGCTCTATTTTGGGTCTCTTCTTTACTTAATTTTTTTATTGTGCCATAGCTTCCTAAGCATCTTTCTAACTCTATGGGGAATAATATTTTCTTCAAATGGTTGTATTAGCAAGCTCTAACCACCCAAAAATGCAAGACAAACTATGAAAGTGAAAGTTGATAAACGGGGGGTAAAATATTCACAATTAACAAAAAAAATCCACATCATTAGCCCAAGGACATCAACTATACATATTTTCCTATCATAAGTACTTCTAAATATGCATCAATTCACCGACAAGTAGAATGACTAAAGGAAAATGTTCTAAAATAACATGAATTTCACAAGATTAACAAAATCCATTAGTGAATATTTGGACCTCGAATTCATTAAAATGAAGCACCATCTACCAGATATCTAATTTTTTTTATTTGTGGTCAAAAAGTGCCTAATAAGGTGAAAAGAAAGTTTTATCAAATTGCTCTAAGACCAACATTATATGGTATAGTGAATGCTATGCTTTAGAGGTACAACATGTAACACCCCGAATTTTATGATTTAAGATGAGTAGAAAAGAGAAAAATTTATTAAAATTATTTATTTGCCAAATAAAGGGGGAAAATTATGGAATAATGATTTTTAGGGTTTAGAGACATTTTGGAAAAGGTATTTCCCAAAAATGGCTTAAATAATTTTAATAGATAATTTTAAGAGAAAAATGGTTTATTTTCTCTGAAAATTATGGGAAAAAAAAATACTTAGAGGTTTCTAATTAACTAGAAAATTTTAGGGAAATTATCTTATGATGTAGAGAATTTATTTGAGGCATAAAATCCTTAAAATGGGTTAAGGATTAATTTCTGGATTTAAGGGCTATTTTCTTCCACAATTCAAGAAAAATAGGTAGGAGATTATTTTGACCCGAACTTTTTATGGACATTATTTCATGGGTCAAAGAAGCTAATGGATAAGGAAAATCCATATAAAACATGGTGGAATAATTTCTGTGTTTATTCTCTAAGTTCAGAAAAACATAGAAAGGATGAAAGTGAAAACAAAAGTTTGTTGAAGGGTGTAATGGTCATT